TCCAGCTTTGTGTCTTTTTTTCATTGTAGCTGAAGTTTGGGACAAACTGTTCCTTTTCAGCTCAACACGAAACGTGGCATATTTTCTCTGAATGCGGGACGATTCCGCTTTTTACGGGACGGTTGGCAACTCTACTAACTAACCAATCAATCAACTACCCAATATTGAATCAATGTTGAACTCTGACATTGATTTGACGCCAAATTTTGAAACACTGTTAATGTTGAAACAGTGTCAGATTCTGATATTGAATCACTGCACCCTTGGTTACTATTGAAACAACAATAACGTCATGACTAAAAATCAGTACTTAACAGGTATTTGTATCAATACTAATAAATTACAATCAATACTTAAACCTGCAAAAAAGACAATTGTGTATGATCCACAAATAGGAAACCATTATATGGACATAGTCTTACAATTTGTCATGTCCATAATAATATCCATATAATATGAAGCATCTGGCATTATGTAATAATAAAAAAAATGACAGACATCTCTGTATCAATAACAAAGTAATTTATTATATTTAAAAAAGCTTCTTTGTTACATGTATTGGTTACAGGTCACTTTTTTTTAGCTTACTCCAGAGTCAGGCCATCTAGGACACAAACAAACAAAAAGAAGGAAAAAAAGGCCAAATTAGAGCTTAAATATGAATAACCTCTTGTCAATTGTCTTCAGCAGGGTGAAAGCATCTAAACTACTAGGCTGATTAATATGAAAGTCACAAGGCAGAAATCAGCAAACTGCTGCCTCACTTTGATTCTCAAAGAGCCATTAGCTGAAAAACTCAAAACCTAAATTTCTAGAGATAAAATGAATAAACCAAACTATTTGCAGTGAAATGCATTTCTATTCCTATTTATTGGATCTTCCAATGATAGCCTGCTGTTGTATATTCAAGCAGAACATACAGGAGAAGGCCATTTTTAAGCAGTTTAACCGAATTTGACAATCTCTAAAGTTCTGGGTTACAAAAGTCCCATAACCTTTAAGAACTTACCATTGCTTTATTCCCCTCCGGTCATTGCAGTTCATCTCATCTATGTTCAGCATCAACAGGGTCAGTGCTGCAGGATTAACCAAAGGCTCTGAACTCTTCACAGAGGGTCCCGACTTCTCTGATCAGCTCTGTTGTCATGATTATGCGTTTTTGGAAGGCCACATGTGTTCAAAAGAACAATAACACAAAGAATACTGGCTTGTGATAAACTGGATAAGCATTGTGATGAGAAAAACAACTATATCCATAAGTGATGGCTTCACATTTTGCATTCAGGTTTAAGTAGTTCAACCTGTTAAAACTGTTTACAATTTAGCCTTTTAACATATAAATGAAATGCTATGTAAAATCTCAAAGTCGAAAGAATTTGCCTCAGACTCTCTGGAATCTAAAAAAGCTAAATATGATATTCAATAGCATAAATTAGTGTTTTGAAGTTAAGATTACAATGAAATTGTGATGCAGCTCAAAGCATACTGTCGTTAGAGAAGGCACTGAACGCAGACTATTTGGTGGGGAGGTTGCATAGCTTTGTAGGTTGGCAAAAGGAGCCAGTAGCTGGCCGAGGCTTCATGATGGTTACTAGTAGTGGGTTGGGGGGCAGACTGCAGAGTGGTGGAGGCTGTTTAGAAAAAAAAAAAAAAATTAAAGATTACATACAACTCGTTTACAAAGGTTCCTGTTCTCACACACACACATATACACACACACTAAACATTACATTATTACCTGGTACTTTCACACATGGTGCCTGGGGAAACCTTTTATTTTGGAGGTTGCTCATCATCAGAGTCTGTAACTGTATAAGGGATTTGGTCTAAAACAAAACAAAACATTAGTATTGAACTGCATTGTGTTTTTTGCTTATTTTGCCTTAAGTTACAGTAAAATTTACAACATCACACAAAAATGGTTAAAAACTAACAATAATTTGAAGACACTGATCTGAATTGAGAAAATGAAAAAAAAAAAGCACAATGTCAATAAAAAGAGGAAAAACATGATATTCTAGATAAGTTCCAGGTAGGGTATGACATGAAAATGTTTTCTTTGTTCAGCGTTGGTATCATCTGTGAAATTTATGCTTTTCTCCTTCTGTTTAAGTCAGCTGTAGAAATATCATACATACGTCGACCTTCAAATAACGAATAACTAAAAATCAACATCAGTTCAATGTCTCCTTGCTATCTGGGTAACCTTATGAATAAAATAAAGTTCACTATCAGTAACATCAAAGCACCACCCAGCTGTATAGAAACTCCGTCATGCTAGCTAGCACGCAGTACAAGTTATTGTAACTGACTGTAAAAAATCAGCACAACGAAAATAAACTCCACCTAAACTTGGTTTATATCTGACCCAGATAGACTGCAGGTCATAACTTCTTACCTGAAGTTCAGTTCACCTGACACTTGGACCGGTGGCCGCCTCAGGTCTCTGCTCCTCCTGCCTCCCCTTTCCCTCATCCACCTGCTGCCTCTGTGGAAGCTCCGCCATAGCCACCACCAAACAACTGACTTATTTTTACACATCTGCCAACGTCTGGCCAATCCACCACCTTTCATTGTTTATACTGTTACTAAAAAAAAAAAATCATCGGCCCATAAAAACGAAAAATCACCATCGGCCCACCAGGCAAATGCCCAGCTGTGGTCTTGCCATCACTGCCATCAGTTAACCCTTTGTGTGCCAGGTGTGGCACGCGTGCCCAGGGTTGCCGACCCCTGAGTTACACTATGAAGCAAGGCAAGTCTGAGGGGGTCCAACCCTGTACTAATGAAGTGGTAGAGAGTACAGAGGGCCCGGTGGCGCCAGTGTCCGGCAGCCTCGCCTCTGTCAGTGCGCCCCAGGGTGGCTGTGGCTACATAGCTTGCCATCACCAGTGTGTGAATGTGTTTGTGAATGGGTGGATGACTGGTTGTGTAAAGCGCTATACAAATACAGGCCATTTACCATTTACATATCTGTACATAGCATTTTATGTTTGGGGGGCTGTGTGGGGCTGCATGGCATCAACGGATTAGCGTGGTTAGCGTGGTTAGCATGGTTCGCTCGTTAGCACGTTAGCGCCGCGCACAGGGTGATCCGCGGTAATTGGCTAACGGAGATTTGCCGCGTTAATGCGATTATGGCGTGAACCTCAACGAGATTAACGCTGACAGCGCTAACATAAGCATAAAAGTATACTGAACAATCACACAAAAGCTGCCTTGGCTGGTTGTCGACCTAGCTTTCAAAGAAGATCCAGGATGGCAGTAAATAACAGGTTGGATGCAAACAGCTCACTCGTGATTCACTTTCAACTTCCATCCATCCATTCTTCATGTTGAGCAAATATTTACCTACAGACAACTTTAAAAGTAAAGAATCTGATTTAGTATGCTTTTTATTAAGTTTGTTTTCAAATACTGACAGAAATATAAACTTTTTTGTTCTGTAGTTTCTTTGTTGTAAATAAATCTCATGGAAAGCCTGTTTATTTCCCCTTCATGGTGCTACATCTATCAGAAAAAATGCATTTGTAGGTTTTAATTAAATTATGTTGTTTGTGCCCATGAAAAACTTGCCAAATCTTCTGTGGCAATGCCAAACGCCTTGTACTGCTATTGACTCATTTTGAGTTTCTCCTAGCCAACTTGCCATAAATCCTGATTGAAGAATAGGATGCCACGTGTGTTTCTTCCACATACTACTCAGGCTTTTGTTTGTTAAATGGATAGATTGTTAAATTGCCAGTCTTGTTTCTTCAGACTTCAATTAGCTAATCCAATAAACAACATCAAACAAGAGTCAGTAACAGAAGAAGCTGTTTGGTATGGGCTGATTTGGCAAGTTTTTCATGGGTGCAGCACACATACTCAACCACCCACTAAGAGGAAATATACAGGCTTTCCCACAAGTATAAGCTTTACTGTGAAAAAAAAAAGTTCTTACAAGAAAGAAATGATCAACCAAATACAAACTTCCGTACTTTTTGTTCCATGTTTAGCTGCATTTTGGGATAATATAGAATGGAGTGAAGCCAGTGATGTTACAAGACATTTCTGATGATTTAATGCTTGCTTCTCTCTGTCCTTGTATGTCTCTTTCCCTGCAGATGTATGTGACGTGTACCGTGCAGGCAAAAGGCACTCGTCTGGCTAAGCCAGTGTTGTCTCTCGGGCTAATGTGTCTGGCCTTCCTCACTGGTTTGAACCGTGTGGCTGAATACCGCAACCACTGGTCAGATGTCATCGCTGGCTTTATCATTGGCACTGCCATTGCCACTTTCCTGGTGAGACTCATACCCAAAGCTCATGTGTACTGTAAACTGATTGAAATAACTGATTTAAGAAAGTTTTTTTATTACTCCTCAGCCATAAAAGGCTGATTGGAGTTTGTGAATGCAATAAAAATAAATAACTAGTCTGTCAAATGGAATAAAGTCTGTTCCTTCAAATATCTTTAATTCCTTTACAACTCCAATCTGGAAAGTTAAACATATTAGTGTTCTGTAGTATATCAGGGTTGTTTCAAATGGGTGTACATTTGTGTGGGATTAATGGAAACTCCCACCATGCTGTCAGAAAGGAGCTGATATATAACAAACTTATAAAGGTTTATCTTACCTTAGGTTTATCTTACATTGATGCTTTTAAAGCATACATGTTGTTTGATGCTTGAGCTAATGAATGGTAGGTCAGAAATCTCTATATTAGTGCGTAGTGCCTGTTCTATGGCCATAACCAGAGGGTATGTTTTAACCATCCTGAGATGTATTGTAGCCTGTTGGCTAAGATGTAGTGGTGAAAGTTAGGCAGATCTAGTTCTCCTTTATCTTTAGTCCTTTGGAGTGTTTTTATGCTAATCCTGGGTGGGTTTATCTTTCCACAGGAATTTAGAAATAGATGAATCCAGAGATCTAAACCACTCTGGTTTGCATAATTTGCACACTGTTAGAACTCTGATCTACCACCACATATTTTAAAAACAACGAGGGTTTTTACAGACAGAAACATGGATGTGCCATCGGCTCCCCTGTGTCACCTATTGTAGTCAACCTTTACATGGAGGAAGTGGGGAAAAAAGGTTCTTGGCTCTTTTAAAGGGTGAGTACCCAGCCACTGGTACAGATATGTAGACGACACCGAGGTCAAAATCAAACCCAAAGATGCAGAATCTTTCACTGCTTACATCAATGCTATGGAGAAAAACATTAAGTTCACCAGGCAAGACTAAAAAAGATAGCTGTTTGATATTCCTGGACTGTGCCGTGCACATGGAAGAGAATGGAAACCTCAGCAATGAAGTACTGGAAGCCCACACACACGGACCAGTACCTCCTCTTTGACTCCCATCACCCTCTGGAACACTAACTTTGAGTAATCAGGACCCTACACCACCGGGCAGAACATGTTCCCTCTAAGCATGAAGGGAAGAAGAAGAAGGAATGTAAAGGAAGCTCTTAAAACATGCGGTTATCCTAACTGGGCTTTTATCAAGTCAGCAAAGAAGCACAGAAAAGAAGATCAGACACCAACTAGGGAGGATAAGAAAGACAAACGCAACAACATTGTCATCTCCTATGTAGCCGGTGTATCTGAAAAAACCAAAAAACTCAGGAGAGTTTTCTCTGCTGTACAGTGCAGCGAGGAATGCCCAGACTTCTACATTGGGGAGACCAAACAGCCACTTCACAAGCGCATGGCACAACATAGAAGAGCCACCTCCACAGGACAAGACTCAGCAGTCCATCTGCATCTAAAGGTCAAAGGTCACTCTTTCGAGGATGCCAATGTTCACATTTTGGACAGAGAGGACAGGTGGTTTGAAAGAGGAGTGAAAGAAGCATCTATGTCCACTGTGAGCGACCATCTTTGAACAGAGGCGGTGGTTTACGACACCAACTGTCTGCCATCATTGGCATCATTGGGGAATAAGTGTGGAGAACAGCCGAACACAAGATCACCCTGGAGGAAAACTCCCCTGCAGCAACCCTGCTCCCTGGAAAATGGTTCAGGTTCTGGGGACACACCGCCGCAGAACAGGGGTAATACCTGAGGTTCAGTGGAGACAGCAACCTGGGATGCAGGACTCTCTGAAGCAGGGGATGAAACTGGCATAGGCATGGTGGATCATTACTTTTCTTAAAAGATGCACAGAAAAGAAGACTAGACACCAACTGGGGAGGGTCAGAAAAACGAACGCAACAACTATATATTCTGTTGGTACTGTGTGTATGTGCCACATTGGCCATAGAACCATACTAATTTAAAGATGTGTTATATTTGCGCTTGTAGGTGGTGTGTGTGGTCCATAACTTCAAAGGGAAGTTACTACTGAGCGAGGAGTCACTAGTGGAGCAGCGGCCCAATATAGCCATGTTAAACATAGGCCAAGGGGAGAGTCCGCTGGAGAAGTACATCACCTCACAGGTTGGTACTGGTTCATCACAATTTCACACTTTAAGAAATTGAAGCTAGTTGTTTAAAAAAGGAAATAAGTTTATAAATCAATGGACAGGAATAAATGTTGGTGTCTTAGTTAAAGACTTGTATGATCAAGAAATATTACCTCCGAAGTCAAACATCAGCCTCAAATGGGGAAAGGAGAAGTTTAATATGCTAAGGTAACCTTAAGAGTTGTAAAAACCGTCAAGACACAATGTTGGATTATACAATCGCTATAAAAATCTAAAGAGTTAGGCTGTGCGACTTTTAAAGATACCACTTTGATAAAGTCAGGAACTTAAATACAATCATATACGACACCCTGGGTAAATGCAGAACATCAAATCAAGCATGTGTTAGATTTTAAATACAGTGATAATGGGACAAGTGTCTTCAACCATCATTGGCAGAACGTTGGAATGTGTGCAAAAGCTGATGCATTTAAATCCACTGTATCTGATGTATGTATTAGTGTAGAAAACATATTTGACTCAGTCTGCATACCAAGCAAAAATACAAGTCATGTGTAGCATGAGTCCAATGTTAGGACACTTTGATCTAACTTCTACTACAGTGTTCTGGATCGTACAGTGCCTTGAGAAGTCCCGTAGCTGATCACACATGTTTCAGATCACCAAAGAAATGTATAATATTATACAAAGATAGCACAAGTAAATACAAAATGCAGTTTGTACAACTGGCCTATATGAAAAAGCAGCCCCCCCCCTAAAATTAATAACTGGTTGTGTCACTGATGCATATCAAGCAATTTTCACTTTTTCACGTAGAATCTCGTAGGCTTGCATACCTGAGCTTCTTTCCATGAATAAATCAATCATCATTTAAAAACATTTTGTATTTACAAAATGTATTTGCATTAAAATAATGCAAACAACATTCTGGGAGCAATGTTTCATCCTATATTGATCTGCCACTTCCATAAGAAATAAATTAATGAAGGAGGTAGAATCTAAAAATCTGCACTGAAACCCAGACTGTTGATTTGGTACATCTGGTCTGCTTAATAAGAGTTAAATGTGACATGAGAGGAGTCATCTACAATCACTCTGCAGAGTAAATGCATCAAAGTATCAAATTAAAAATGTGTTATGCTGCTAACAGTCAGTACAGCACACTGTAGTGCAACAGGAAGTCACCGATTGGGTGAATTCTGTGTGTGGGTTCGTGGTGCATCGGGCTGCACCAACTGACAGTAAATTTTAATCAGGATGACACAGCTCAAGTGGAAATTATTCCATGAAGTGTGTTACGGGAGCCATCAGAGGCTCTACAGGTTCCTCTCCACAGTATGGACAACCTTGTGTCACCCCCACATGCAGCACATATACCATATTTCCCTGTCTGTCGTCAACACACCTCCATACATTGTCCCATCAACTTATTAAACCCTGGCCAATCTATTCCCAGAAACAGGGTAAGCGTTTGGGAGCTAGCAGCAGCCTCAATTCTGTGCTTTCTGTCCTTGTACTTCATTTCCACTGGTACTACAGGATATCAGTGAACATCCCCAATGTACACACTTAATATCCACCTACAAATGCCCCTACCAAAGACCTTCTGGGAACCAGGTTCTGTTGACTCAGGGATTGCCTTTACCCCCTTGTATTCTTTCTTGAACACTGGATATCTCTCCTGGATCAAGGGAAGATATCTGAGACCTGGAGACCTGCACCACCTGGCCATCCTGCATGAGCGGGCACTTATTTCCCTTCTACAGCCACACCACTAATCATACCTCACTGCCATGATGCCCATGTTGAAAATCCTGATTAACCATACATAAATGAGTAAAGTTGCGACATTACATAATAGTCAAAGGAGCTTGCAAAGAAAAGTGTCTGGACTTCTTTAAGTTGCTTGAAGACGTTTCACCTCTCATCCGAGAAGCTTCTTCAGTTCTAAGGTCAAATGGTGGAGAGTCCCAGATATAAACCTAGTGGGAGTTTCCCCCCACAGAGGGACAAAAGGACCCCCTGATGATCCTCTAATCGCCTGAGCCAAGGTGTGGAACTGGGTGTGGGTCACAATCAGCCAGAGTTTCGGGTGAGTTCATTGTGAAACCTGGCCCCACCTTATCATGCGAATTCCTGAGGTCAGATGTCCCAGGATGTGAGTGGGCGTTAAGGCGTCTGGGGAGGGATCTCAAAACTGGATTATAGATGGCAGAGAGTTGGTGTCGTAAACCACCGCCTCTGTTCAAAGATGGTCGCTCACAGTGGACATAGATGGCTTCTTTCACTCCTCTTTCAAACCATCCATGCGATGGTTTGAAAGAGGAGTGGCTCCTTTTGTCCCTCTGTGGGGGGAAACTCCCACTAGGTTTATATCTGGGACTCTCCACCATTTGACCTTAGAACTGAAGAAGCTTCTCGGATGAAGGTGAAACGTCTTCAAGTAACTTAAAGAAGTCCAGACGCTTTTCTTTGCAAGCTCCTTTGACTACGATGACCTGGATGACTGAGAACCTTCACAGAGACATTACATAATACATAAAAGTTATTTCATGTAATGACTTTTAAAACTATTTGCATCATCTCCGTTTATTGTTAACATGCGTACATCAGCAAATGCTAGCTGTATCAAGGGAACCACCAGGACTCCATCACATGACAGTATATATATATATATATATAATTAAAAACTAGTAACGTGAGGTGATTTAATAAGGAATATAATGAAAAAAAATAACATTAAAGGGAAAACATGAAACATCATATAAAAAAAAGTTCTCAGCAGTTAAATTGCTGCGCCCGCCTCTGGTCATTGTGGTCAGGGGCTCCATGCTGGCTTCTGCCCACCTGCAGCTCATCCTCGACCGGCATTCTTTGCTACATCATATCCTAATCCATAGCATGATCAGCACCTTTGGCTGGTGGTTATGCTTAGGTTAAATCTACTGGCAGAAGAGAGCCAGCTGAGGTGTTTGGCAGAGTGGAGTTAGGCAAGGTTCATTTACTCAATCACAGCAATCAGTGAATGTTCTGCTCCCTCTGTTCCCTAAAGGTTTGCAAACCCCAAGAATTGCTGAAGCTGTATCCTGTTTTGGGGGTACTTCTGAAATTCTGACTCCATGTTCAGACCATGGAAATCAAGAAAATCAGATTTATCCTCTTTTTTTTCTACAAAGAAGAAATCCAGAGAATAGGGACGGATTATACGAGCAGCTAGTGAGTCTGTGGTACTTTCTCCAAAGCCTCTCGTTCATGTTTTATGAGACTGTACACACATCTTGAAAACAACAGAGCATCGGGAAGCAGATCAATAGAGCAGTCATATGGCCGGTATGGAGGGAGAGAGAGAAAGAGCTGTGTTTACTGAAAATGTCAGCTAGCCCATGATATACACCAGGGACAAAAGACAGATCAGGCAGGTAGACAGGCTAGGAACACAAACTAACTTTAAACAGTTTTGGTGACTACTGAGACTCCAGCCAGAGATACAATTATTTTTCCAATCTATATTTGGGCTATGAGTGTTAAGCCAAGAGTCTTCAAGAACCAGGGGAGTGTTAGGATCATTGAAAAGGAAAAAAACTAATTTGGTACAATGCTCTAGCTCTAATTTGGCACTTTTTTTACTCTACCTGAGCACTCGAAGCAACTTGCCCCATTCACTCATGCACTTCTTCATATGCTTTTTTTGTTGTTGTTATAAATATGTGCTTTCTATCTAATATTTACGCTCCAATGGATGCAGCCAGGAAATGAACTACCAACCTTGTGATTACTAGATAACCTCTACTACCTGAGCTGCAGCCACTCTTTTTTTGAACATGATTGCCAGACAAAGCGAGACAGAGACTGATCAATAAAATTCTGTTCGGCGTCTCAGTCACCAAATTCTTGGACTAAATGGGTGCGATTGTTGACAACTAGTTTAGCAGGCACCAAAAGTCTTGGTAGGGAAGTGTCACTGTTTATTTTGCCCACCAGTATCCCAGCAGTTACTCACAGACAACACACTGGACATCAAACAGGGCTATAGGGTTAAACCACTACCAAACCTGGGGAAGTCTAACCACACATTACTGTTTTTGATCCTGGCATGTATCCCACTCATCAAAACTGCTACAGAAATATCACAAAGACAGTCAAAACTTGGCCAGACGGAGCCTCTTAGCAGTTGTAGGAATGTTTCAGCAAGACATACTGGGATATTTTAGAACACCCGGACCTGGAAGTGTTTTGTGACAGTGTACTATGCTACATCAGGAACTGCATAGACATTGTCACAGAGGATAAACACATTTGAATCCATCCCAACCAGAAGCCCTGGATGATCTGGGAGGTCCAGAGCCTGCTGAAGGAGAGGAACACCGCCTTCAAGTCTGGTGACGTGACTCTATACATCAAAGCCTGTGCCAACCAGAAGAGAAGCATCCATGAGGCAAAGTCAGACTACAAGAAAAAGATTGAAGAACACATGGACAGCAATTAAAGCAAGCAGGTCTGGCAGAGGAACTGACCCTCTACTTTGCCCGGTTTGAGGTGGGATCATAAGAGGCAGCTGGATCCTATCCTGATACCATCAAAAGTCCCATTCTCACAGTGGAGGAGCACAATGTGAGGTGCATGCTGCGTGCTGTCAAACCTCGGAAGGCAGCTGGATCTGACGGCATCTCACGTACTGAAGGACTGTACAGGCAAACTGGAGGGGGTCTTCACGAGGATATTCAACCAGTTCCTGTTTTAGTCGGTTGTCCGACCCTGCTTGAAGTTGTCTGTCATCGTCCCTCTGGTCAAAAAACAAACAATCACCAGTTTCAATGACTACGGGCCAGTAGCTTTGACTCCTGTGGTGATGAAGTACTCATCAGGAACCACATTATGTTCTTCATTTCTACCACATTCAATCCATACCAGTTTGCCTACAGAGATAATAGGTCTACTGATGTTACTGTGGCCACAGCTCTCCATGCTGTTCTGTCCCACTGGCCACACTCCACTTGCCTTTGGCCAATGAGACCACCTACAGGGATGAGGTGGAGCATCTGACAGTGTGGTGTAGAAAACACAACTTGTTCCTATACACTGCAAAAACCAAGGGGCCTGTTGTGGACTTCCGCTTCTTGGGAGTCAACATCAGCGAGGATCTGATCTGGGAAATGCACACTGCTGAGGTAATGAAGAAGGAAAGAGACTGCTTTCTGAGCATTCTCACAAAGAATAACATCCCTGAAAAATGGTTGGTGTCCTTCTATTGCTGCACAGTAGAAAGAATCCTGGCATTTTTTCAAGCTACACAGTAGCACAGAAGAAAGAGCTCCACAGGGTTATCCAGATATAGTCAGCCATCTTCTGCTCTCACTTGAAGAACTGCACAGGTCTCAAGAACATTAATGAAATCCTTTATTAAAGAGACCCAACTTACCCTGGTCATGTACTGTTTGAACATCTACCTTTAGGAGGATACCTAGGTATTTAAAGAAAAATGCACCCTTAGAGAGCAAACGTTTCTTAGGAGGAAAGATGGCCAGAGGTTCTTGTAATCTTCAGGCAGCATTGCATTAAAAACAGGCATGATCCTGTTGTGGATATCACTGCATAGACTCACAAGCATTTTCAGAAATCATTATCTATGATTCGCTGTGCCATTCAAAGGTTAAAGCTCTGTCACACAAAGAAAAAGCCATGTTCAAAAATGATGCTAATCTTTTTTTTATGGTAAATGTTCTATGTTTAATTGTGAAAAGAAGATAGGTTTATGTGATTTTAAAATTATTCTATTATTTGTATTAATATTTTGCACTTAAAAAAGAGTTATGTATTTGCACACTGATCCCCTATAGTTGGAGCAAACCCTGCAGTCCCCCATTTTAAAGATAGGAACCACAATCCCAGTGTGTCAATCCAGAGATGCTGCCCCATATCTCCACGCAACATTGTGGAGGTGTGTCAACCACAACAGCCCTACAACATCCAATCCTCAACTGAAGTCAGAAGTGCTCCAAGCACACTATGCACAATATGGATACAGCACCGCTTTACTCTCTGGAGTCACCTGACAGTTTGCCTGAATCACTTTGAGTCAATCCAAAAGTCTTTTTCTGTGGCCTCACAAAACTTCTCCCCACCCCCGAGTTTCTGCATTAAGTCCTGCCCGAGCAAGGTGCGCTTGGCCTGCTGGTACACATCGGCTGCCTCCGAAGTCCCACAGATTAGCCTTTCTCCACCTGATGCTGCCCTTAATCTGGTTCAGGGGTTACCACCTCAACAGGCACCAACCACCTTGCGGTCGTAGCTCAGTGCAGCAGTACATCAGTAAGGTGCTACACATAGTCCATGGTCCATTCAGATGCAGTTCTGTCTACATCACAATACTGTTGAAGCTCTGCTGGAGGTGGGCGTTAAAGATGTCTCGGACAAGGGGCTCTGCTAGGCATTCCAAGTGCACCTTCACTGTATGTTTAGATGTTTCAGGTCTGTCCAGCATCCTGCCCCGCCACCTGATCCAACTCACCGCCAGGTGGGGATCAGCTGACAGTTCAGTCCCTCTCTTCACCAAAGTATCCCGAACATTCGGCCACAGATCTGGTAATAAGAATACAAAATCAATCAACGACCTGCGGCATGGGTTATCCTGGTGATATGTGCATTTGTGGGAAAACTGTGGTTTGCACAGAAGTCCAATAACAGAACACCGCTTGGGTTCTCACCAAGGGCATCTTCAGACTAGGACAGAGTCAAGCCCCAGACTCTCATCCTAACACACTAGCTCAGGCTCTTTCCCCAACAGAAAGGTGACATTCCATATCTCAATCGCAAGCCCTCATGCACCCCAGGGGCTTGGCCACCACAGGGGTTTTGCCCACAAGGATTTGTGACCTGTAGTTAGGATTGGTCCGCCAGGGGCTCCGCGCTTTGCTGCCTGGCACATGTTGCACCTGATCCCTACAGCGCCTTCTGCAGGGGATGGGCCTACAGGAGGGTGGGCCTATGCCTCTTCTGCCCCTGACTGGGCCCCATGGGATGAGGCCCAGCCAACAGGCGCTCACCTCCCCAGGCCCATCTCCAAGGCCTGGCACTGGTAACACTATCCCAGGCAGGGCCAACTGTTGTCTTGACGTGACATATATAATCACTGTTTGTCTGGCCCCTCACCCTGGACCCTACCAGGGGGCAAAAGCCCCCCGACCTGGGAACCCAGGGAAACATAAACCCCCTGCACATCCTGTCATGTTCGGGTCAAATCTGAACGATTTACAAATGAAAAAACTCATAAACATTGTGTTTTACATCCGATTGCCTCGAGGCCTTATGACGTCCTCCAAACTATGCACTTGAACATATAAAAGTGATGAGCACCTCTTTCGTTGAATTTTGAGTGTTTTGTCACACCTGTGGTGTTCCCGGTCAAAAGTCACCGCCATAGAAAATGAATGGGAATCCTCCCACCCCCCCTTTGGCCTCTGGCCCCCTGAATGTCCCACTGAATGACCACTGAACGACTCATTGAACTGAGTTTGGTGGTGGAAAATGTCTCTTATGTTTTTTTTAGAGCTGTTAAAACTAACCGGTGAATTTTGACCGGGAACACTAAAGTAAGGGGGTGGGGGTGAACACAACCAGAGGGTTAATAGTAACTGATCTTTAATGTCCTCAAATCAAATGAGAGTAGTATATTTTTTTGTTTCTTAAAGACACTTAATGAATAATTAAAGGAAAAGCTACCACTTCCAGCACTACTGTCACCAAAACCTGTTACAGTAGTTAACTACTAACTAATTCATTTTTAAACTAATGTTTAAAGCAAAGGGCAGATTTGCAGACAGGTGTGAACAAAAATGCAAAGCTTTAGGTAGGCTATTTTCAGAGTCCAGAATTACAGAATCCATTGTAAGGAAACCAAAATACACAACGCTTCTTTAACAGGCAGGGACATGCGGGTTTGATAACAGAAACCGAGACAAAGACTGAGTTGAAGACAACGTTATTTATACACAAAAGGATAATCAGAGCATTGGACAAGGGAGGGTAACAAGGTGCAGCTGAAGATAATCAAATGCGATTTGGGGTGGGGGAGTGGGCAAACCTGACTCATTAGGATAAGAAGAAAACACTGAGGGAACAATATAAACTGTAGTGTAAACTGGAACTAATAAACTAATAAGGCTCAGCATATATGAAAATCTAACAATTAACAAGAACCAAACTAAGAACCAAACAGAGAACATATTAAATAAGGAATTCAAAATCCAGAAATCATGAAATAATCAGCAGCACTGACAGAATTATTCTCTGTTTACACTGTGACCCATTAGTTGTACATTTTGATACACAAACTAGTATCAAAATCTCAGTGTTGGATGTTGCCATTTGTTTTGTTTTTTTGTTTGTTTGTTTTTTTGCCATTTGTTGCCACTTGTTGCCACACAGACACACACTCATGAACACATTGCTGCTGCTGCAGGAGACGGATGATGAGGATGAAGGCTCTTGCAACATTAAGGAGTGCCTCGAGGCCTTCCTGCGCTGGCTGCGAGGTCTCAGCTGGTTCAAGTGGCTCAGCAACAAAAGGCAAATAAATTACTCTGTGAAGTGATGTGAGCTCTGCCAGATTCAATGTCACACTTCCTTCTGTTCTTTCTTTGGCTAATATTTTGCTGTAGCTATCGTTCAGTCTGAGTGCTTTCTGTTTTACACCTACAATAAAAGAACCTACTTTTGGCTGCCCCCTGTCACAAGGGGTCACTCTGCATGTTTGATGTGTCTGACTGTATGTTTGGGCTTTTCCTTTTGCTACTGTTTGAACTTGGATCTGTTTAGATGCTTCTCCAAATGTGGCCCATACCCACATCTTTCTATGGGCCACACTTGGCCTTCTTTGGTGGCTCACTCATATGAAAAGTGTCTGTTTTTTTTTTGTCTTAAATGTTACAAAGTTCTCTGGTACTTATATTTAGAAAAGTTGCATTGAATCATGTAACACAAAATGTTCCGCATTATTATTGCTGAACTCCATAACCCTCATAAATCCCTCTAAATGCTGTTATTGGATTTATTTATAACATAGTGGTTCTTGTGAATAATGTGGGATTAAGTACCATAGTAGATATTATACACAAGTGGCTATTCCAAGTACACTGAAAATCATTGTATTACAAAAATTTGTGGTGTCCCAACAGAAGTTTTCCAGGATTTACAAAGCTGAACCATTTTCAGCCCACAGAAGCTGTTTAAAGCTGAAGCATGACAGCAGTCGGAATAATTTACTGAGGAAGAAATTTAGGAGTTGCTACAACCCTAGTTCCAGAAACTTAAAATTAAAAGAAAATAAAAATAGTAGAGTGCAGTGATTTTTTTTAATACCATAAAATACCTCTGTGCAACAGGACCAAAAACATTTGGAGCCCCCATGATCTTCAGGGCTCCCTCAGGCAGCAATTCATTTAAAAGGCACTATTCTGCCATGATGCTGCACAGTGGAAAACATAATCCTAATTCGACTTTTAGAGGACAGCAAGAGAAGTGTGCATGTCGGTGGGAGAAGGTAATGTCGAGCAGGGGATATGCATCCATCAAGATAGAAATATGCAATATGGTAGAAAATGCAGAAACCAGATAGACGAGAAGCAGGTCAGACGAGGGGCTCCAAAAGCTGGGAGAGCAACCACAGTGCTGCAGGACCGGGCTGAGTCATCTGAAACAGGTGAGGGATGGAGAAGGTACCCAAACAGATGACCGAGGCAAACAGCAAAACCTTAATGCTTTGCAGCAACTGTTGGAGGTGATATATAAGGGAACTGCCAAGAGCAAGCTCAACAGCCTTTGGAAGTTCATCTTCGAGGTCTGCAGAGAGATGTTTGGTGAGCTTAGGAGGAGTGAGCCCACAGCCCCAAGGAAAGGCAGAAGAGACAGAGATGGAACAACTGACCAAAGACTGACGCCAACTCCGTGGGAACTGTAGGAAAGCGACACCCCATGACAAAGCCAGCTTGAAGGAGCTGTGGGACAAGCTCAAACAAAATCACGCCAGGTTGCAGAGAGTGGAGAGAATTGGAAAGAGAAGGACAAAGTAAGAGGAAGAGAGAACTAGAGCTTCATCAGGGATCCCTTTGGGCTTGCTTGAGAGTTGCTGGATGAAAAGAGGAGTGGCAACCTAATCATCAATAAGGAGGAGCTAGAGTGATACATCAAGAAGCAGGAACTCCTGCAACACTTGAGGGAAGATGAACAACAACGCGTTTCGGCTTGTGGCCTTCATCAGGGTCATAGTAAAACATTGTAAAAAAATTGCTTAAATACAAGACAGGAAACAGAAAAAAATTCAAATTAACCAGTCAAAACTTCATAGATAGATCAGCTGACATACACTCAAAAAAATGAAATTGGGTGGTTGTTAAATTTACAAAATTCAAACTTGTAATGTGAACAAAATAATTTCATGTTTCTGTGGTGAACGTAATTAAATCATGTAGGATCTGCATGAAATCCAGCAACGTAATTTGTTCTTGTTGAGATGACAGGATACAGTAAGAGTGGTTAGTTGCCTGGATTCACAAAATTCACAAGATCATACAAGAGTTCAAACCACAGGAAAATCACTGGGTTAGAAGAGACACACAACCATACACACACTACGTATATGCCTCAGCTATTTATTGTGGTTTTTAAAATTCTATATAAAGCCTTGTAATCATAGTTTCCCTATGTTTTTGAAGTCTAGATTGACAGCTTGGTGGCACAGTGGTTAGCACTGTGGCCTCGCAGCAAGAAGGTCTTGGGTTTGCAGTGGGTTCTCTCTGGGTGCTCTGGTTTCCAGTTAAAGTCATGCAGTAATTAGGGTTAAGTTAATTGGTGTTTTCTAAAATATCTGTGAACATGAGGGCGAATGGTTGTCTGTCTCTCTGTGATAGACTGGTGACCTGTCCAGTACTCTGACTCCCACCCTGTCACTGGGTCCCGGCCTCACTGCAACCCTGGTAAAGATAAGAGAATGGATGAAGTGCAAGTTATTATAAATCCATTAACATTTTATGTTAACCAGACTCTAGACTTTGTTGAACACTCCAAAAAAATAACTCTTTAAATGAACTTAGAATAAATGGATTTCTATCACGAATAAGCATGTTTTGTTGCACTAACGTCATTTGCATGGGTTGGATCAAATCAATTAAATTAAGTTGGACTGTAGTAAAACAGTTGATTCATCATTAATTAATCAAGTTAGTCCAACTCAAGTACATTAAGTTGGAATAACAGAATTGCATAATGCTAAAATAAAG